CACCCCACTCACGGAGATTGTCATAGTCACATAAAGCCGGTATTATCTACACAGCCCTTGACACCCCCCAACCCCATGGAGATTGTCATAGTCACATAAAGCCGGTATTATCTACACAGCCCTTGACACACCCCCCCCCCCCTCACTCACGGAGATTGTCATAGTCACATAAAGCCGGTATTATCTACACAGCCCTTGACACACACACACGCCTCTGCAGAGAAAAGGACAAAAGGTGGGTGTGGAGAATGCAAGGTCAGTAATCAGTTTATGACAAGACGTTTGAGAAGAAATCTTTATTTTTTTATTATTATTTTTTTTTTAATTAGAAAAAACAACAACGCAGAAGTACAAAGAGAAAAGTTACAAATGATAAGTTTTTTGAGAAGAAATACTTTATTTCATTCTCGTAATATCCAACAATAGAAACATACCAAATACAGGAAACAAACATAAGTGACCCTCATATGAAAAGATTATCATAGGGAACCACCGTGGTGTAGCAGCTAGATGCAGATCGGAGGGTTGTGGGTTTGGGTCCTGATGAAGCCAGATTGACCCAGCCTCGAGTGGGTACCAGGTGTAATCCTGGGAAGTAAAAGCGGTTGGCGTGATGATGCTCACATCACTCACTGAGTGTTTTATAAAATATAGGTTTAGCCATACACGCCCAATATGCCCCAAGACATGGAAAAGGGTCTGTTACAATACTTACAATTAGACTGTATTTTTTTTCTCCATTCCCCTTTCAAAGGCTGGTTGGCACACTGTGTTGTGGTTTGCAGCACAACTATGTTATCTATGCCTTTAGGTTCAATACATTCAATGTCGGCAAACCCTTAATAAATCAGCTTTTAGGACATGCTTGCTAGGGTGGTGGTGAGTTTGCTAGTTTATTTTTTTTTTAGCTTTTAAAATGGGGCCCATACAGGGAAGACTATTCAATAGCTTGCAACAGCCATAAAATTGAGATAGCAATCTGAAACCCAGAAATTATAATACAAAGAAATTTTAAAAACTTTATGAGTAAATTAATGAAGAATTACAGTTCCCCGCATGCTTACTACTTATTAATAAAATATTAAAAACATAGAAAGAATGATACACTTAGGAATACATCCAATAGTGTACCTACTTGCTCTACATAAATATTTCATGGTTAAAAAAAACACCTCTACATTGGGGTTGATTTAATCTAAAATGCTCAACTTCTCTCTCTCTGAACCCAAAAACCTGAAATAAAGAAAGTAAATGAAACAATAAAATATAATGCCAGGAACAACATGAATACCCTCAACTGATTTATGCTGGGAAACTGAACAAGTCACCGCAAGCCCACACACTTATTCTTGGCAAATTATTGTTGGTAGTTTCCCCCTTGACTTCCACGTAAAAGGAATATAGAATAGAAGGTAAAAAGAAACATCACAGATGAGCTCAGCATGTAACATAAAAATGTTTCCATGCTTGAAAATGTTTAAAACCACAAATACAGAATATGGCACGTTAAGAATGTGTAACCACACTATCATCATTTTGCAACAGGTTTTTTGCCACTGAGTCCCATGCCCAACTTGTCTACATTGTGAATCTTTATACCCGGGTTGCCCCTGATATCCTGTGTCCGTTGTCAATGTTGGTCAATGCCTGCCTCTTCTTACAGGAACTCCCCCCCATCCGTAGTTCAGATCCTGAAGAGTATCAGAATTTGTCTCTTTTACCGGCCCCTGATATCCCCCCCCCCCCCCCCCCCCCAAAATTCCAGAATATTTAAATTCAAAAGCTTCAGCGTTTTTTTTTTTAAATACTGTAAATAGTCCATGACACACACACACACACACATATACCATACAATATAATTTATTTGGTAGAAACACTCATAATCAATCTATAAAATATAGGTCTAGCCCTATATGCCCAATACGCATGAAGGCATGGAAAATTGTCCTTTATTATACTAACTTACTTACTGCTGACTTACTACATTTGATTTAAATCAAAAGAATGCTAACATATTTGCTGGGATGTGAGTTTTAGTAAAATACAAGGCATGAACTCCAAATATGAATTCATCATAATTAGACGGGCATTTGTGGGGAATATTCAAGCACCCATTCACCTACAAAGAAACTGTCTGTGCATATTTAATTTACCATTTTTAATTTGGTTCAGGACGGGGGTAAGACCTTGGATATAATGGCAAATGATTATGGTAGTTGTCACAAATTGTGCAGGTTAGCATTTACATTTTTGCCACTGACAAAAAAAAATCGTCAATCTATTACCGAGGACTGAACCCAGGTCTCCTGCGTCAGAGCTTAGTACCCTTACCACTCAGCCAACTGTTCCACCTAACTTGTATAAATTAGTTGATACTAAAGTTGTATTGACTTAAGCAGTACACAGCTCTCCAGTCTGCAAACTTCAGTACATGACGAAACAAACATGCATACAAATATTTAAGTGTTCACTAACAACAGCACCATTAGTATAATCATTTAGCATATCCCATACAGAACCTCACGCCAACAATATGTCCCGCAGGACAGACTTGGTTCATAACCAAATCTCCTGCCTGAGGTATTAGTTGTTAGTCAAGGTTCCAACATCAATCAATGCAGATAGGTCGACCCATAACTCCTGTGCTAGCAGAAATCACACAACATCTCCTTCACTATCCCATTTGAAAACTAGTGAAAAACTTGTCAGTCCCAGCAAAATCTTGAAGCTTGCAATTGCAAAGTAAAAACGCACAAGATAGCTTTCACATGTGCCAACACTAATGGTCCCACACCACAACTGCTCACTGCTGGCGCTAATGATCAATCATGAACGCGGATCTTGCACCCACAAAAGTACAAGCCATTTTGAAGATAACTGGCCACCTGCCATTTGAGTGCAGTCAACAACATGCTGCCGGTACAACAGAAGAAACCCATTCCACATGAAATCCACAGCTCATAGTGTCACATTAAGCATTCAACTCAGTAGCTGAGCGACGGAACCTTTGAACTCCCGGTCTAGAAATGGGGAATTCGTATCAGCAAAATCTAACTGGTAACAAATAACCGAAATAATGAATATTCATACCTAAGTTGTTTCTATATCCAGTGAACTGAATTTATACCCCACCAGGACATCACACAAGCGATAAACACCCGATGACACAAAGTGCCACCATGTGGATGAGGATCGCCGTGGAGAGGTCCCAGAAACCGCTTTCAGACATTTGGCCATATATATGGCCTGCCTATATTGCGGCCCCTGGCAAAAGCCAGAGTAGGGCTTCAAATGACAAAAAATTGCGTCCTAAAAAGGACGAAATAAATATCCAGTGTCTGTCTTTGTGGGGCTGACCCCTGCCTCTTTGTCCAATTATCATGTCTTTAATTACCGCTCTCTCTCCCGTCCACTGCAGTGTTAATACGGCCAGGTTTTTTTAAAATTCTCAGATCTTACAGAATGTCTGAATTTTGGCTCTCCTAGCAGATTTGGACGCAAGCGGGACGGCTTCGGTCGCTTTAGTGGGAGTTCTCTACCTTGGCCGCACTCAAAACAAGTAGTCACGAATCAAATGACATACTTACCTATCATCATCCGGGTGCGTGTAGAGTTGCGTACGGTTGCGTCTAGGGTAACCTATCATCATACAGTTGCGTGTAGGGCTGCGTAGGGTGTCTATCATAATCCTATGGTTGCATGTAGGGCTGCGTAGGGTGTCTATCATCATCCTACGGTTGCGTGTAGGGCTGCGTATTGCGTGTAGGGTTGCGTAGGGTTAGGGGTAGGGTTAGATGTGAAAATTTGGTCGAAATAGTGGCTGACAATCTGATGCTTGTGGGAGTGGTGCCACTGAAATTTTGCCAAATATGACGCCAATAGCGGGCGGCTGCTGCCCAATCGGTGGCGAATTGTCTGTGTCAGTAGCATCCACCGTCTGTTGAGTGTGTATGTGACTGTGCGCGATTATAGGGAACTACGGCGTCAAAATTGTCACATCTAACGCTAAACCTAACCCTACCCCTAACCGTAACCGTCACCCTACCCCTAACCCTAACCAACCCTACCCCTAATCCTACCCATAACCCTACCCCTAACCACGCAAATTTATCGGTCATTAAAGCATACAGATCGGCAAAACACACAAACAAACAAAAACCCAGATATCCCCGCAGCGTCAAAAAAAAAAACCCAAGCATTGGCAGCCCTGATGTCGACCTCACTGTCTTGTTTGATTCGTGACTCTTTCCGCTACTTGTTTTGAGTGCGGCCAAGGGAGAGAAATCCCACTAAGGCAACCGAAGCCGTCCAGCTTACGTCCAAATCTGCTAGGAGAGCCTGAATTTTTCTTATTTGTATCCACAGTACTCTAAGAATTTTTCTGTTAACACTGAAGCTCCTCATTCTTCTTCGGTGACTGCAAAACAAGCCACATATAAAGCAAGGGACGCATTTCATGACACTAGTACATCAAGGCATATGGTACTGGATGCATATCCTTAATAGATCCATCATCATTCGATTAGGATGTGATCAACATCATGCTAGCGGCATTTACTTCCCAAGACATTTCTAGTACCCATTTTAAGCTGCGTCTGCCTGGAAACCCTAGGCCAATCAAAAAAATATGTGATTCTAATGGTCCATGACTCATATTTCTGTTACAAAAGGAAAGATGCATTTTTCCAAATTTCTGCTTTTACTTCGCTGGCGTTATGCCAACCTAATGCTTTTAAACTTCACATTACTATGGTCACTCGTTTCCTTTCTTTTGAACAGTCTGCAGTGTTAATTATTGAGCTACCAGCAACTATCTTATAATAACTGTACAAATGGCAATCTAATCAACAAATAAATACTGTATCCCAGTAATGGCTGAAACCATCAACTAAGAAATCTTGCTTGTGATGACAAGCATCCACAGTAATACTCTGGTACAACTCCCTAGCTGACACTTGATAAAATGTTTGAAAATTCCCCCTAGCCAGAAATACTTATCATCAGGCTAACTCTGGTGCACCCGCAGCAACCATCTGCCGTGACAACCATTCCAAACCATCAGCTAAACCCTGACCACTCTTGCCATCACAGGCCTGCAGATGCCAGCTCCGGTTGCAGCACAGTTTGAGCAGTCCAAACTGTTCTGTGATCTCCTCTATTGTCACACACTTGTCTATATCCTGCAGAGTCAAATCAAGATGTGTGGCTTCAGAGACAGAATCATGTTCATAGAAACTACTTTCACTGACTATACAGTGTCCGATCAGATTCCACACACTGAAAAAATACTCATCACAACTAAGATTACTCCAGCTGTGTTTTAAACATGTTCTCCAGCTGTGTTTTAAACATGTTCTCCAGCAGTGGAGAAGACATATTGCAATGTGCTTTCTCGTGAATAGAAACTTATGGGTCACCTTGTACAGTATATTATTAACTCCTTCAGACCCCGACAAATGTTATATTAAGTTTTGACTGCCAAGGTTTGAAGGAGTTTGGGCAAAAAGAGGAATACACTAGGATGGAAAAGAAAACAAAATGCATTTAAAGGTAAAATGACAACAATTCTTTGCACCTTGTTTTATTATCAGAGAGAGCTCAGTTCTCTTTCAGCAGAATGACTAGTCACTAGCAGACAGAAGCACACAATTCATTAACTCCATAACCTCCCCTTCGGTTTTTTCCATTGCTTAATGACAGAGACCAAACCTAAAAGGCAAATGGCTTAACCATTTTATCATGGAGACATCCTGGTATGTACCAGATAAAAGCAAGGAATGTACTGGACAAAAGTTCAGGTGCTTGCTCAGAAAGAGTGCTTAAATGCGACAGTGGGATAGGAGTAATTAGAACAAGTTAATGATGCGTGGAGTCACTAATAAAAATGTGGTGCATTTCTTAATACAGAATGTGTTACCAAACCATCAGTAAGAGCAACAACAAAATAGAATGGGCTTCCAAGTAGCAGATCTCAGTTCTTAGTGTTCTGGATCAGTTTTATGAACGCTATCCCTCCATGCCACCAACTTACTCCATTCAACATCGGTCAGCCTCTGCCACTGATCTTTCCTATTATTATAATGTTCTCCTATACACATTTTCTCATCATATGATTAAAGACAGTGTTTTTCTTCTTATATAGTTGTGTATGTTCTACTTTCATGAGCATTTTGACCACATCACCCATCCAGTGTTGACTAGTCTATATAAATGTAAGTCAAGCATTAACTCTCTGGTCAGGTCAAGTACCTAACCTGACATCAATGTTCGCTACTCATCCTTGAGGAGCTGCAATGGCCAACCTAATTAATGGCACTGGTTCAGGTCAAGTACCTAACCTGACATCAATGTTCGCTACTCATCCCTGAGAAGCTGCAATGGCCAGCCTAATTAATGGCACTGGTTCAGGTCAAGTACCTAACCTGACATCAATGTTCCCTATTCATCCCTGAGAAGCTGCAATGGCCAAATTAATGGCAGGTCAAGTACCTAACCTGACATCAATGTTCGCTACTCATCCCTGAGATGCTGCAATGGCCAGCCTAATTAATGGCACTGGTTCAGGTCAAGTACCTAACCTGACATCAATGTTCCCTATTCATCCCTGAGAAGCTGCAATGGCCAGCCTAATTAATGGCACTGGTTCAGGTCAAGTACCTAACCTGACATTAATGTTCGCTACTCATCCCTGAGAAGCTGCAATGGCCAGCCTAATTAATGGCACTGGTTCAGGTCAAGTACCTAACCTGACATCAATGTTCGCTACTCATCCCTGAGAAGCTGCAATGGCCAGCCTAATTAATGGCACTGGTTCAGGTCAAGTACCTAACCTGACATCAATGTTCCCTATTCATCCCTGAGAAGCTGCAATGGCCAGCCTAATTAATGGCACTGGTTCAGGTCAAGTACCTAACCTGACATCAATGTTCGCTACTCATCCCTGAGAAGCTGCAATTGCCAGTCCTTGAAAAACCTAATTAAGGAACTGGTTCTGTTTGCAGTTGCAGTATTTTGGAATCCTGGATATGATACTGATTTAAAAATTGCATGTGGTGGGGTTTATTATTGTGGAAAAGTTGCTACTTGAGTCATGATGCCATATTTTCTCTTCAGCTTTAGTGATCTGGGTCAAAGATACTGACACTGGTCTCTCCATGTGATTTTTTTTTTAGGCACAAAATAAAAAATAATTTTCTCCATTCCTTTCTTGTTTACTGACTACTTCCCTTCATGTTTCTGTTTTTAAAAAAAACAAATGTAAACGCATATTAATAAATTGTAAACATTTTATTAGTAACCTGTCATATTTAAATTTGTATCCTGGGATAAGCTGGGTTCACTGGTTTTTCTTTAAAGGGTTACTTGGGCAAAAAGATGACATGCCTGATGCACAAATGGCATCAAAACCCTTTATTTTTAATGTGACCATTACAATTATCAGTGTATTTCTAAAGGAGTGATTTTATTTTATACTTAACTATTATTCCCTGTATGGGTTCTGGGGGGCTAATTTTGGTGGGGGAAAAGACAGACCCATTGACCCTCCCCCTTCCACCAACAAGTATGTCATAATACTAGTCTATTTAGGAGTTTTCACTTCAAGGTCAGAAGGTATTTGTCTAAGAGGAGAGGAACTAACAGTCTGCAAACAAATAAGCCAGCTCCGTAAAACAGATTTGCACCACAGAACTTTCTGCCACAGTTTACAGCCGGTAAACTCAAAGAAGAAGATATTTAACTATGGTTTTAAAAAATATCAAACAGTAACAGACAATAAAATTTAATCAAGAAAAGGCAAAAATCCAAGAAATAAATTAAAAAAAAGAGTAACCTGTTTGTTGGCAAATATCAAAAGTGAGGCTTCCTTGAGTTCTTTTTCTTGTACCAACTTAACAAGTTCACTCTGAGCCTCGTCCAGCCTCTCTCTGTTGCTGCTGTCAACAACATATATCACAGCTGCAAGTGGAAGACATCATCAAATTGTATTCACCAAGTAAACACTATCTATTGCTGCTGTCAACAACATATATCACAGCTGCAAGTGGAAGACATCATCAAATTGTATTCATCAAGTAAACACTATCTATTGCTTGTTGTCAACAATATATCACAGCTGCAAGTGGAAGACATCATCAAACTGTATTCATCAAGTAAACACTATCTATTGCTTGTTGTCAACAATATATCACAGCTGCAAGTGGAAGACATCATCAAACTGTATTCACCAAGTAAACACTATCTATTGCTTGTTGTCAACAACATATATCACAGCTGCAAGTGGAAGACATCAAATTGTATTCACCAAGTAAACACTATCTATTGCTTGTTGTCAACAACATATATCACAGCTACAAGTGGAAGACATCATCAAATTGTATTCACCAAGTAAACTATCTATTGCTTGTTGTCAACAACATATATCACAGCTACAAGTGGAAGACATCAAATTGAATTCACCAACTAAACACTATCTATTGCTGCTGTCAACAACATATATCACAGCTGCACGTGGAAGACATCATCAAATTGTATTCACCAAGTAAACTATCGATTGCTGCTGTCAACAACATATATCACAGCTGCAAGTGGAAGACATCAAATTGAATTTACCAACTAAACACTATCTATTGCAAAACATATATCACAGCTGCAAGTGGAAGACATCATCAAATTGTATTCACCAAGTAAACTATCTATTGCTTGTTGTCAACAACATATATCACAGCTGCAAGTGGAAGACATCATCAAACTGTATTCACCAACTAAACACTATCTATTGCTTGTTGTCAACAACATATATCACAGCTGCAAGTGGAAGACATCATCAAATTGTATTCACCAAGTAAACACTATCTATTGCTTGTCTTCAACAACATATATCACAGCTGCAAGTGGAAGACATCATCAAACTGTATTCATCAAGTAAACACTATCTATTGCTTGTTGTCAACAATATATCACAGCTGCAAGTGGAAGACATCATCAAACTGTATTCATCAACTTGTTGTCAACAATATATCACAGCTGCAAGTGGAAGACATCATCAAACTGTATTCACCAAGTAAGCACTGCAATTGCTTGTTGTCAACACATCATCAAAAGTGGAAGACATCAAATTGTATTCACCAAGTAAACACTATCTATTGCTTGTTGTCAACAACAAGCTGCAAGTGGAAGACATCATCAAATTGCTATTCACCAAGTAAACATCTATTGCTTGTTGTCAAACATATATCACAGCTCAAGTGGAAGACATCAAATTGAATTCACCAACTACACACTATCTATTGCTGCTGTCAACAACATATATCACAGCTGCACGTGGAAGACATCATCAAATTGTATTCACCAAGTAAACTATCGATTGCTGCTGTCAACAACATATATCACAGCTGCAAGTGGAAGACATCAAATTGAATTTACCAACTAAACACTATCTATTGCTTGTTGTCAACAACATATATCACAGCTGCAAGTGGAAGACATCATCAAATTGTATTCACCAAGTAAACTATCTATTGCTTGTTGTCAACAACATATATCACAGCTGCAAGTGGAAGACATCATCAAACTGTATTCACCAACTAAACACTATCTATTGCTTGTTGTCAACAACATATATCACAGCTGCAAGTGGAAGACATCAAATTGAATTCACCAAGTAAACACTATCTATTGCTTGTTGTCAACAACCTATATCACAGCTGCAAGTGGAAGACATCATCAAATTGTATTCACCAAGTAAACTATCTATTGTTTGTTGTCAACAACATATATCACAGCTACAAGTGGAAGACATCAAATTGAATTCACCAACTAAACACTATCTATTGCTGCTGTCAACAACATATATCACAGCTGAACGTTGAAGACATCATCAAATTGTATTCACCAAGTAAACTATCTATTGCTTGTTGTCAACAACATATATCACAGCTGAAAGTGGAAGACATCATCAAACTGTATTCACCAACTAAACACTATCTATTGCTTGTTGTCAACAACATATATCACAGCTGCAAGTGGAAGACATCAAATTGAATTCACCAAGTAAACACTATCTATTGCTTGTTGTCAACAACATATATCACAGCTGCAAGTGGAAGACATCATCAAATTGTATTCACCAAGTAAACTATCTATTGCTTGTTGTCAACAACATATATCACAGCTACAAGTGGAAGACATCAAATTGAATTCACCAACTAAACACTATCTATTGCTGCTGTCAACAACATATATCACAGCTGCACATGGAAGACATCATCAAATTGTATTCACCAAGTAAACTATCGATTGTTGCTGTCAACAACATATATCACAGCTGCAAGTGGAAGTCATCAAATTGAATTTACCAACTAAACACTATCTATTGCTTGTTGTCAACAACATATATCACAGCTGCAAGTGGAAGACATCATCAAACTGTATTCACCAACTAAATACTATCTATTGCTTGTTGTCAACAACATATATCACAGCTGCAAGTGGAAGACATCATTAAATTGTATTTACCAAGTAAACATCATTTGTTGATTTTTATTTCTGTAATGATGTCTTGACAGAAACAAACTAATAAAGATAACTCCATTAGTTAGCTGTGTGTCCTTAACAGGATGTTGCAGAACCAACCCCAACATTGTTTGGCTGTTGTAGTTTTTCCAGGCAAATTTACCTCCAAAAAGGTATCATTTCAGTTAATAAATGTTTCAGTCCTTAAAGTTTTAGATAGAGTAGACAGAAACAAATTATGGGCCATTCTTGAAGATGATGGGATACAAAAGCAAGTACTTAGGTAACATCATAAAAGGACCCTTTTCCATGCCGTTAGGAGTATGGGGCATATAGGGCTAGACCCATATTTTATAGACAAATCGGCACTTTGAGGGTGATGTGGTCGGCATCACGCTGGCCGCCTTTACTTCCCCATATTGCACCTTTTACCCACTCAAGGCTGGGTCGACATGGAAGCCAAGGTCATTTATGAAAAAGGTCCAGCTCCTTCAGGACACGAACCCACAATCTTCAGATTCACAGGCGAGCATCTAGCCACTACACCTAGGCATCTCCCAGACAACATCATGGCCATGTACAACACTTCCCAAAGCACAGTGAGAACACAAGAAGGCATGTATGATATGTTTACAAACAAATACGGAGGTGAGGCAGTGATATGTACTCTTCCCTCTCTCATTTAATATATAGACAGAATATTTAAAGAAGCTACCTATAAAGCAGTTGACCTAGAAAATGAGGAACCTTACTTTCCAGAAGTAAAATTCGATCCAGACACAATAAGCTAGCTTCTATTTGCAGACAATTAGTTTCTGTTCTATAATAAGGAGAGTAGACCGAAAGCAAGAGGTTGCCCTAGGAGAAATGGACTGAAGACATTAAAGACCTTCTACTTCAACATGGAAGGACAACAGCCACTGCTACCCTTTAGGCTATGGATCTCAAGCTGTTCCTCTCGCAGCAAATGTCTTAAGGTGTAGATGCTATAGTTCCCACAGCACAGTGATCATACAATTACACACGCCACTCTCTTCCTCTCATTCATCTCTCCTTGCCAGATCCACTCCTTATTCTATGTTCACACATTCTTACACATGTTTTTTCAAATTCTTTGATGTCTTCAGTCCATCTTCTCCTAGAGCAACCTCTTGCTTTCAGTCTACTTTCCTTGAGGGCAGTGTTAGCGCAGTCGATAGGAGACTGGCTTTCAAATCCAGCTGCCACTCGCTGCAGCCCACGGCCTGTGTTCGAAACCAGGCAGTTCCTGGGGTTTCACACAGCCTTTAGGAAATGGGTACCAGAGTTTACACTCTGGGGTAAATGGAGGAACATCACTGTAGCTACGGAGTTGTATGCGGACGGCGACACAGGCGGACATTTTCTTTTCAGCTGTCCGTACTGGTGGCAGAGCACTTATGGTTTATAACCGTGTGCAATGATGCCGGTTCACATCTCCCGACGTTACCTTTACCTTTTTTCAAATTATGTAATTATTTCATATTATGTGTTCGGTACTTCTATCACACTTGGAGTACAAACATGCATAACGTATGAATGTACTGCCCTCTTCTTCTGTTACGCTCTTAATATCAGTGACATGTTGGTTATACGATACTAGACTTATATGTTTGCAGCCCAACTGGTACTCAACTGGTAATGTGGTCAACACCATGCCATGGTACTCGATGGACCATGTGGTCAACACCATACCATGGTACTTTATGGACAATGTGGTCAACACCATGCCATGGTACTAGATGGGTGATGTGATCAACACCATGCCATGGTACTAGATGGGTGATGTGATCAACACCATGCCATGGTACTAGATGGGTGATGTGATCAACACCATGCCATGGTACTAGGGTGATGTGATCAACACCATGCCATGGTACTAGATGGACCATGTGGTCAACACCATGCCATGGTACTAGATGGACCATGTGGTCAACACCATGCCATGGTACTAGATGGACCATGTGGTCAACACCATGCCATGGTACTAGATGGGTGATGTGATCAATACCATGCCATGGTACTAGATGGGTAATGTGGTCAACACCATGCCATGTTACTAGATGGGAGATGTGATCAACACCATGCCATGGTACTAGATGGGTGATGTGGTCAACACCATGCCATGGTACTAGATGGGAGATGTGATCAACACCATGCCATGGTACTAGATGGGAGATGTGATCAACACCATGCCATGGTACTAGATGGGTGATGTGATCAACACCATGCCATGGTACTAGATGGGAGATGTGATCAACACCATGCCATGGTACTAGATGGGTGATGTGATCAACACCATGCCATGGTACTAGATGGGTAATGTGGTCAACACCATGCCATGTTACTAGATGGGAGATGTGATCAACACCATGCCATGGTACTAGATGGGTAATGTGGTCAACACCATGCCATGGTACTAGATGGGTGATGTGATCAACACCATGCCATGGTACTAGATGGGTGATGTGGTCAACACCATGCTATGGTACTAGATGGGTGATGTGATCAACACCATGCCATGGTACTAGATGGGTGATGTGATCAACACCATGCCATGGTACAAGATGGGCGATGTGGTCAACACCATACCATGGTACTAGATGGACCATGCCATGGTACAAGATAGACCATGTGGCCAACACCATGCAATGGTACTCGATGGACCATTTGGTCAACTCCATGCCAGAGTTATCTTTACTTCCAAGGGTTTTATCTGATACCCATTTTAGGTTGAGTCGACCAGGAAGCCAAGCTCATGTTTAAAAACAAAGTTTCAATTTAGATTCAAACCCAAGACTTTCAGACCGGCAGGCAAGCATCTAGCTGTGATACCATCACAACTTCCTGAATGTACAGTATTACATACAAAAGTCAGTAGCTGTTTTCTACGTTTTAAAGCTTACTGGATAGATGGTGCTTAAACCATATTTTAACAGAACTGGCACTGAACTGGTGATGTCCAAATTACCTACAAGATTTCACTGATAGGTATACAATTACAAACAAAAGCCATACAAGATTTTCAGAAGGCATAAATACCTTGGGTATTAAAATAGTAATGTCTCCATAGGGGACGAATTTTGTGCTGGCCACCAACATCCCAGATGGTAAACTTGAAATTCTTGTATTCCACTGTTTCAACATTGAAGCCTGCAGGATGTAGTACAAAACACATTTACCTATAACATCTCTTGGATCAACCATCTGGCTACTCTCAAGCTCAGTCCACCACTTGTTACATGTTTCCCTGATGAGGGCTTTAAAAGGCACATCACCTTGCCCAAGGGTGCCGCCCCATAGGCTGGTGGAGGGAAGGAAGTGTCTTACTTCCATGATGGAGGATACCCCTACCTTGCTACCACACAAGCAAAGTTGCTTCTGGTTAAAATGGAGGATAGGCATGTTTACTGTTTTTAGTAGTGAAAAACTTAATTTTCTCATGACGTGGCAGCAATATAAGCCTAACTGCAAGAACATGTCCTGCAAGACTGTCTTTTCTATAGCCCATAGAGTCATTACCATATTCTAAGCTGTATGGCACTGAACATAAACCCAAGAAAATGCTCAAATTTATCATAAAAACTTGTCTGCTCATAAAAATCAGTGACATGATCACAATACAGAAGTGACATCGCTGTCCAGGACAAATAACTGACAGAAAACAAAATAATACAGACTGAGTTATCCTACCAATAGTTGGAATTGTTGGAATAAACTCATTCTGCTTCAGTTTAAAGAGAATACTGGTTTTGCCGGCTCCATCAAGTCCTAGAGTGACGACTCGCATCTCAATTTTTGGACCAATGTGGACACGATTATCCTGAAGACAAAGTAGAATTCATTATCTGAAGTGACCAAAAAATGTTTGAAATTATTTGATTAACATGAAATAAATATATACCAGGAAAGCTGGAGCTGAATCTAGAAGACTGCAGTACTGATGACAATAAAATTAAATGAATTTCTTCTTCCTCCAGTTATCTCATCAAATGTTGGAGGGAGCTTATAAAGATCTTTTGTATTCTCTTTTTAATGTATTGCATAGGCTGATCTTCATTTCTTTAAGGTTATTTTGGATGCCATCGTTTGCTCATGGTCTTCTCCTTGCTCTGTGTTTAGTATATTTCTTCCTTCTTTTCTGAGGGGAAAATTGCCAATCTGAGATATTTAAATTCACTTGTTTGTTTTATCTCTGTTATTTAATTTTATTGTTGAAGACTTTCTTCTGTTTCCTTTATTATTATCTGCAAATAACAATTCAAAATTATCACCCTCTTCTTAGCTCTCTGCTGCGCTGTATACATTGTAAATGTAAGTTACAAACAGTTAGGGAAATAACACATATCCCAATGTATTCTGAATTCACTTTAAAAGATATTGATGTTCCTGCTTTTGTCATCTGCAACTTTTACTTGATGTATATAAACTCTTTAAAATTTTGCTAAGATGTTTGCTAAATTCACACAACACAAAATATGACAAGGATGATCAATGAAGAGGAAGAAGAAGTACATAGGTACAAACTTTAAATCAACCCTTTACTGATTGATGTACAAGGTCCAACAATTAAGTAATGATACTGATTTTATTATGGCCAAGACAAAAATGCCATCTATTAAGCAAAGCATGGAATCTAAAGAGGCAACATTAATCTATAATCTGGCAAATTTTCATAGCCCCTCGATAAGCAGACAACAAACAAGCCACCATTTTGTTGACCTAGTCAGAGGTGCATTGTTACGTAATCAGCACAGAGCAAAAGGCTAACTTTAAATTCTTTTTAAAACTCAGAAAAAGCACCACTGAAACAGTTGAATTGATTCAGCAAGTTTATGGGGATAATTGTTTATCTCATGCACACATTTTCAGGTGGTATTCACGATTGGAAAGTGGTGTGAAAATTATTACTTATGCACCTATACCTGGACGCCAAATTTATGTTCGAAATGATAAACATACTGCTAAAGTTAGAGAATGGATAAAAGAAGATCATCGTTTTACTGTGAGGATGATGGCAGATGAATCTGGTGTTAATAGAGAGACCATTCATACATTCTAGTGAAAGATTTTGGCAAGAAAAAAGTTGCTTGCTGGTTTGTACCACAGTCTTGTCTTATGACTAAAAACATCAGCGGGTTGAGTACTTAAGAGACATTATGAAAACAAGAATTTTTCCCCAAAAAACAAGTGTGTGTTCTCATCCTTCCATCCTATTCCCCAGAGTTGTCTCCCTGTGATTATTTTGTATTCCCAAAATTAAAGTTACGATTGAAAACATGCTCAATTTTCTGTCTGGAGTCGGCAGGGTGTTAGCAGCTAGACGCCCACCTGCGGATCGAAAGGTCGTGGGTTCGCGTCCTAACGGAACCGAAGTTTTTTTTCAAAGATGACCTTGACTCCCAGGTTGACCCAGCCTTGAGTGGCTACCAGGTGCAGTTCTGGGAAGTAAAGGTGGCTGGAGTGATGCTGACAATATCACTCACCAAGTGCCGATTGGTCTATCCAAATATAGGTCAAGCCCTATATTCCCAAGACGCCTAAAGGTGAGGAAAAAGGACCTTTATTTTTACATTTTCTGTCTGGTTCAATGCAAACAGAAAAGGCCGTACAGCACTCTGCTGGCATTTGTACTCATTCCTCATCAGGTTCTATGTCCCCAAGAGAGCACACCTGCTCAATAATGTCCCCTGCTTGGCCCATCCAAGATTTTCCTGTCTTTAACCTGCTGCCCTTTTTATTTTTTATTTCATTGTGCAGCAGGTGTTGGTTGGTGTCTGTGTCTAAGGTGTTGCGAACACGCTTCATAATGCTAAGGTGGATACTAGCTGCAGGTGATTTGGTAGCAGACCATCTTGCATTGGTTTTGACAGTCGTATCAAGGGTTGACTGTTCAGTAATCAATGGCAAACTACTGAACCTAAAATTGTCCTAGAAAAACCACAACAGCCAAGAAATTCTGGGGCTTAGTTCTTCAATGTTCTGTTATTGATACACAACTTAAGTGGGTGTTGTGTGTCTGCATTGATTCCGATGTAGGCTCATGCTCGGTAAATTTTTATTCTTTCCTCCATGGTTGGAAGATTGAGAAGGTAGTGCATCGCCCTACCTGCTGTATCTCTTTTGTTTACCCAAGTATAATACACACAGCTTCATTCTGTATCCTTTCCATCCCTCTCCAACTGCTTATGTCTGAGCATCAGGACTGCTTTCAGATACTCAAGAACTGAAAGGACCAGACCCTGATATAAAAGACATAAATGACGCTGTTCACAGTTTGCTGCAGCCATCGCTCTCATCGCAACCGAGCCCCGTTTGGCTTTTATTATCACCTGTTATCAACACGATATCAGAATAACTTTAGTTCTTGATATCACAACAAACAGGGCTACTTGATTGTTAAAGGCAACAGGATCAACTTCACAGCACTGGGTTTTATCCTATGTGATCATGCAGGGGCGGTTTACCCAGTGCATGGGTTGCACAAGGCATGAAACTTCAAAGCTCCAGTGACAATCTCAGGTTGCCCAAGCCCATAACTTTGAAAGCAGGGGGAAATGGCTTTAACTGTCAATACCAACCTTAGTGAAAGTGATTGGTATTGTTGGTTCCAGGGCTATCTGGTCTGCCAAGTCCATGAACTGCTGCTGCTGTTTCTGAAGGGTGTCCAGGAGGTGACTGACTTCAGGCTTGGCCAGCATGATCTTGGGGTCATCCTGAGAACAACCAACCAACTATACTGTTAAAGGGTCCCAAACTGGGCCTGTAGGCCCATCTTACATTCAGCCCTGACAATCACCCATCTTCAATACAGCATTTGTATTTTATCTGTAAAGCATGTTACTTTGTAAAGAAATATACCCAACTTTGAATACTAGATTAAAAACACAAAAGGATGAATGGCAAATACATATAATCAAACATAGATTCCGTATTTAGGATGTGGGATGCCCCTGTGAAGTAATTTATTTCACAACCCTTCTTCACTCAGCTAAAGCATTTACAGACAGCAATAAGTGGTTTGCATTCTGCAAACATTTCTAAGCCATCTATAATTTTCTCCTTTAATAAAGTTTGCCAGTGATAAATAAATATTTTGTTTCCTTTCTCAGTTCTTCATCTGTGATCTTGTTTTGCCAAAATTTTTGCAGGATTTCCTCATACAAATTTTTAAATTGTATAGTTTATATGTAATGTTTCTTGTCATTTCCCAACACCAACTTGTTGAATATTGGTATTCCTAAAACATTATTCTCATATAATATGAGTTTTGTCTTCTAAGTCCCTGTGACACCATATCTTGTTAAGAATGGCAAATGCTTGGTTTGCTTAATTTCTAGATGTTATATCCTTTTAAGACTCGCCATCTAGAGTAACTTTACTTCTAATTTCTTCAACGTCTACTGCTTCATTGTTTAATATAACTGTACTTTCTGTTTTATGATTACTTCTCTTTACTTTCATTTTACTGGTATTTATCTAGAGCCGGGGGACCAACGTAGTGTAGCGGCTAGATGCTTTACTGTGGATAATGGGTTTGGGTGCTGACGGAGCCAGGCTTTGTTCAAAAAATGACCTTGGCTCCCAGGTCGACCCAGCCTTAAATAGGTACCAGCTAAAGTGCTGGGAAGTAAAGGTGGCTGGCAGGCATGATGCTCACCACATCACCTACAAAGTGCTGACTGTCTATCAAATATAGGTCTAGCTGTGTATGCCCAAAAAACCTGAAGATGTGGAAAGGGTCCTTTACTTATTTATTTACTTTTTACCTTGACTCCTATCTTAACCTTTCTGACCCAAGGATTTGCAAAACCAACACTTCCGTTTAGGTCCAGTTTCCTATAAATGTCTCTTTTCTGTCTTGTCTATAGCCACCTATTAATCGGGCACAAAATTAATAATATCTGCAGAGTTTGCACCTGTGCAATCTATTTAGGAGGTTAGGATATGAAGATATTAACAAAACAGCACTGGACAATTTGAGCAAAAAAAACTTTTTAAAGCCAATTTGATCTTAAAATTTTTTGTAATCCTCAGTGATAGGGGTCATGCATGAGTCACCCCATACACATGCTTTTTTATCCTTATCAGACAAGTCGCCAGTATACTGGCGTATCATAGAAACACTCTGAATTTTGTTCCGTTTGAGGGGAAAACAAACTTTTATGAACAAGTTTTTGAAAAATTAGAACTAACAACGGAAAGTCCTTTCATTTGCAATGTTTCACGTGGCTTTTGCGTAATTTTCTCATTTTTAAAAAGCAGAGCACAGAACTGTCTACTGCAATTTTGTGACGCAGGTTCAGAGTCACACAATGTAAGCAGGGTTACTTAAACTTTGTTTCTTTATTAAATGCTAAAATTATACACATATATATTTTTTTATATTTGGTCAATCACAGAGATGAATAGAGGCAGGTGATATCTGAACTTCAAGGGCTAGAAAAGCTTAAGAAGATAATTATTTTTATATTTAATTATTCAGTGGAACAACAGGATACAAGTAAACCTAGACATGAGTTTTATTAGGATCTGAGGCCAGGCTAGCCAATCTGCTGATTGTAAGAGGTGAAATGCAGGACCCCAGCTAGAGAGATGAGAACTCTAGATGGTACCCGACAGCATCTTGATAACTTTTAAATGGACTAGGTCACATTAAGATTGCTGAAAGAGGACTTGAGCCAGTTGACAATGTAACTGATGATTACAGACTGTAGCAATCATATTCAGATGTAATCCTGTTTCTGCTGCAGGCAAAAACAAAAAAGCTGTGCCACACATTTTGACAGTTAACAAAGCAAAAAACAGCATTCTGATATGGATTTTTGGAAAGCTGGAACAAATAAAAATTATTTACATTATTTTGATGGAAAAAATAAATTCAGCAGATGGGTTATTCACCATAGGATTGGTCATGGAACGGATTAGGTATGTATCCTAAGGTTTCACTGTATTTTTAAATTATGACAAATATGACCTGCTGTAGAGTAGCCTCACACTGGTGACACACTGAGTTGATCTGGGCCATCAGGACTGCCATATCCTCTTGCTGTTGTCTCAACGAGCAGAGCTTCTCTCTGATATGTGTGTCCACGGCTGCTAGTGCTGCCATCTCCTGACGATTCAAGTTCTCTCGAAGCTCATTGAAGTATGCTTTTATTTTAACTCTTGCTTGTTCTGCTGAACCTAAGACCTGGATAGTAGAAAGAAACACTTATCATTTTACAGCTAAAAACAGGAAGGTTAAGTTGGTGCTTTATAACTATAAACAGAATTGAAAAAGTGTGCTGATACCATATAAATTTTTCCAAATTTTAATGAATTAATTACAACACACATCCACATAAAAAATGAATCATAATAGCATAGTGGGGTTGTTTTTACTTGTCCGAGGAACAAATCGCTATGACTCTTGCCATTGAATCCCAAATACATGTCACATATTCTGATCTTTAGTCACAGAATACTAAAGAAACCGGGCTTCCCCAGTAGTCATCTGCACTACCACTACTACTGGACTCTTGAAACTTATACACTGATGTTTCACAGTAGATATTATTTAATTCAGTGGGCACATAAAATGGCTGTAGATCATACTGAATGGAAAGTATCTCTTCAACAGGCCATTAGGATATAAATACACTTGAAGAAGCAAATGGAAGACAAGCTAAAGATTTAAAAAGACGTAAGAAAGAGCCACTTATGACCATATCCCCATACAGTCACAATGACTCAGAAACAGAGACTTGTGGCTTTTAACATCCTGATTTTAAAATTTAAAAAAAGACAGAAGGTAAAGAAAAAAATAACAGATAGATGACAACCTTTTGCCATGGCATGGACAAGTATCAAAACATAAACTGATACATGCTGGCAGAGACTGCAAGACAGATCTGGAGGACTAGTCAGCAAGACACTTGATGATGATGAACACAAACATGTAAGACATGAATACCTGCTGTGTAGTAGTTTCCCCGTCACTATTCTGCCCCATATGCACACCTCCTTCAATCTGCTGTATAACTCCTCCCAGTTTTCTCGCAGAATCTGCCACTTCCTCAGCGAAGGATCTTATGTGCTGGACTGCACTTTTAATGGATGTACGGACATTCTCCGCTTCTGACTCTAACAATGAATGCTGTTTATCAGGAGTAGGAATAAATTACCTGGATTCAATACTTGAATATAACTTTAGAGTCAAAACAACTGTAGAGAAAGAGATGTATAATGTATATGTTCACTTTTATTCCCATTGCAGCCATAATCATGTTAGCTTTTTTTTAAATAAGCTTTTATTTAGTATGCTTTTGTTTGTTTGTTGGTTGGTTTGCCTGGTACAATTTGCTTGTTCTGATATTTAATTTGTAAATAAATGTTCAAGTACGCAACAATTATGAATATTATCAGTGGCTGCTGTTTCTGCCTTTCACCTCCCAATGGAATAGATCCGCTCAACTACCTCATACCAAGATCTTCGTAGGCATGTTCTTCTTTTTATTCGTCTTAGCATTTACTGACTGTAAACAATAGCAGAAAGTTCTGGTTGTTTGCACACTTCTGGACTTTAGTCTTGTCCAGAACTAAAGTTTTGCATACACATCTGTTTTTAAAATCTGGCTTATGTGAATTCAAAATTCCCCCCCCCCCCTCCTTTTTTGCATCCAGGAAGATGCACTCTGATTTCAAAGGAAACACCCCTAACTAGTAGCCTTTTAAGACATACTTGTGGAGGGGGGAAGAGGGGGGAAAGTGGGTCTATTCATTGTCCTCCGCAGAAATAGGGCCTGGCAGAACCCACATGGGGAGGTAGACGACATGTTCATGATTGGTTGGATGTTGTTGCTGATGTTTTCTATGAGATGAGATAGGCTAGTCTTATATCACACATTCTTTGTTGCCTCTTATTGCATCATCATCATCAATAAGTGTTTTACCATCTGGCATGAGTGATCATACTCCTCCACATCTTGCTATTTCCAATAATATGTAGAAGTCCATGTGCTGACACCTCTCCATGCATGACAAAGAGCATTAAGTATTTTCTGTTATTTTCCTCTGTTTCTCTGTCTATAAATCTTTCCAGTTGTCACAACACCCACAAATGTTATAATTTTCACAGTAATTATAGTGCATTAATTTTCCGCTTCCCTCATGAACCCCCAAAATATGGGGAAGGGAGAGGGGTGATGATGATATATTACAATGTTACTATGCTTCCTTTATACCCTGTAATACTAGAGTAACAATGACAGATTACAATGTTACTATGCTTCCTTCATACCCTGTAATGTATGAGCAAAATGACAGATTATAATGTTACTATGCTTGCCTTAAGCCAGATAATACATGAACAAAATGATACATTATAATGTTACTATGCTTTCCTTAAGCCTGATAATACATTAACAAAATGACAGATTATAATGTTTACTATCCCTTATCTCTAGTAACATATAAACAACATTATATACTGCAATGTGACTATTCTTTGTGTTCCTCATATCATGTAACATGTAGTCAACATAAAAAATTACGATGTTACTATTCTATACTAATGTTTAAACATAACCCGAAACATGTCATAATCCAAAACAGGTAATAACCAAAAACAGGTAATAACCCAAAACAGGTAATAACCCAAAACAGGTAATAACCCAAAACAGGTAATAACTCAAAACAGGTAATGATACCTTGTGTTTCATGTGACGTCCATAATCCTTGCATATATAGCACATGAGAGGGGATGACCTGCACTCATCCTCCAGACAAGCAAATTCCACCAGATGCATGGGGTGGTAAACACATTTGGGATTTTCTCTAGGTTTCTCAGAAATGGGGACACGTTTGTGCCGGGCTAACGTCCGTGTAGAGTGTGTGCTTTCGGAGCAGTCTACACATAAATGTGTGCTGCACACAATACAGAAAATAACAGCTATGTGAAGCTCATTTTCATCACAGGAGATTGACAGCTGGGGAAGACAAACAAAGCTAGAGTTGAATACATTCTAGACTAACCACATGATTATCATGGAAGTTTCAAATTTACAATGTATTGCCTGGCACAGTTTACAGTATTTGTCAGGTGTATTACTAGAGTTACATTAACTTACTACAAAGCATTGTTAAAAAAAATCCTTTCCATTTACATACACAAATAACAATGACTCTAGTTACACTGTAATCTGACCATCAAATTTTTTAAATTTCCAGTGGTGAGATCTGGAGTGTTACTATTGGGATTAGTGTATTTCAATGAATTCATGATCTTGAAATCCAGACCTTACAAACTCGAGTGGATCAGTCACAGTTATGATGGTCTGGACAAGAATGAGAATAGGAGAGGATCAGCTACCACGACAGACATGAGAGGCTAAGAACTACTGAGCCAGACCTCCAGGATGACACAGGGTTCACTGGGAAGATGACATTTGCCAGAAGACTTCAATGGAGCAAAACCAAAAAAAGAAAACTGCAGACGAGCAGTCTGATGAACTTTCTGGCAAACCTCTACACCCCATTAGCAGAGGATCGACTAAGTAAATGTATTTCAGTGAAAAGGATTTATTTTTGTACTTCATTACAGATACATTTCGTTAAAATTGCAAATGATCATCCTTGTTCTTCTGAACCATCTGACCCTGAGAAAGCTACTTCTCCAGCTTTTACAGGTTTTGGTTAACATTTCTTTGGAAAATGCCTAATATGCCTGGTATGACAGTGCTTGTACTGGCTACAAATGCACCACAGTGTGTAGACATGGTCAATATGATTATAATTAACCCATTATTTCCCTACCTCCCCCACCATAAACAATTTTTTTATATTATTTGAAGTGACACAAAAATTATTTTTTTTAATGTGGATTTACTGTGATGTAAAACTGCTCTGTGGCAAAAGTTACTAAAACCCACTTTAAATTGTCAGAGAAAAGGAAACCAGTTAAATTTTTGCTCAGTTTGTATTTAGTGATAATGATTACTTCTCTTCATATAGAAATATACTTTTTCCAGATTTAAACATTGAGTGAATGGAAAAATTCTTTTAAACTATTCGTTAAGGTTCTTACGGAGCTAAAGGGGTAAACTCTGCCTTTAACCTCCCAAGAGATCACAGACCCTCAACCACCACAAGCCAAGTCCTTTGTAGACTTGTTCATGATTGCAGCTGCAGAATTCTACAGTATAAAGTAGCCAGTTGCATGCTAATCCTCTTTAGTCTTCAAGCATGGTGAATCAGCCTGCCAGGCTGAGGAGAGAGATAGAGGCAGATAAAGCTATTTCAGCAAACTCCTAATTGTCTTGTACGATATCCTTGTTAGAGGGCAGTGGGTTAACTCATGAGACCTCATGGAACCCACAGAGAAAAAAAAGAAACATTAAATTCTGTAGTTTATATTTCTGATATATGCTCATGTTGTATAAACTCCACATGTGGGTTCTGGGGCCCTATTGCAGAGGGACGGGGTGGGGGGGGGTAGACTAATTAGGGGCTATTTCAAAGTCATAGTGCATCTTCCTGAGAGTGAGAAACCAATAGTCTGCATACAAATAATCCAGATCTGTAAAATAGATGTGCACGCAAAACTCAAGTTTGGAACAAAACTAATGTCCAGAAGTGGACGAACAACCATAATTTTCTGTCACAGTTTACAGTTGGTGAAAGTGAACAAATCAAAATGTCACTGAATTTTTATACATATAACAACTGCACTAATTCGTTAAAATGGAATGTGTGGGCTATGTGCCAGTTGCTGAAAAAGAAAGTGCTGAAAACTTGTAAACGCTGGTGTACTATGGTAGTTGAGCCTCTGATGGACACGTCAATGGGTTGAGAGTTAAAGCTCTAGAAAATGGAGAGATGGACCAAAAGATATTATTCAAACTGTGAAGAAATGGAAATACGAAAGGGTAAATCTGGTAATCCTAGTTTCAGCTTCATAGCAAACGGGTCACCCCATAGTTGCTCCGCTCCTGTGCCAACAAAAAACACACGTAGCTCACAGTGTCACACCATGCACCCAACTCAGAATCTGGGCGACGAAACTATATGCTTCCAGTCTACAAATGGAGCAAAAATGCGACGGCCACCGCCTGGCAGAAGTAAAAAAAAAAAAACATTTGCCACGGCTAAAAAAAAAAAAGGTTGGCCGTGCCTAGCGTCCATTTTGACCTGAAGCATTATGCGAGGGTTAATAAATGGTCGCCCCAGCAGTACCCTCACTATTAGCTGGGGAAGGGACTTAGGTAATTACATCCATCAGCAGGCGTAAAGCGAAAGAGTAAAACCTGCTAGAGTCAAGGAGTCCATGGCCTTGTTCTGTGCTGACATAAGGTCACAGAATGGATGGATACTATTCAAAAACACACACACAATTAAGAAATGTAAAAGACATCTTCTTCATGTTCATCTGCTGTAAACTCCAGTGGAAAGTCCTGTTTGTTCATCCACTTTTGGAATTTGGTCTTGATGCATGCACATCTGTTCTATAGACTGACTTATCTTTATGCAGACTGTTGGTTCCTTGCACCCAACTTCAAAGGAAACGCCAGTCCTATCTATGTTGGCCAGATACCAGGTATGGAATCTGTTTCTATAATGATCATAAAGTTTAAAGTCTGTTTGTTTATTCTACGGATGAACATCATGACACACGGGTGTAACCCATAAGTGCTCTGTTCTTCTTTTAACTCAAGCCTGAGTCTGAATAATCTCAGCACAGTGCACGAACTCTGTTGCACCGGTGAGGCTCCTGAACTACTTTGGATTTTTTTTTACGTTCGCAACAATACACATGGGCGTGCGGTCTCACTACCCAGAGACCAGGAGTAAATTACTAGAAGTCCACATAAAAAAATCCCAGCCTTCACTGTGGCCTGAACCCGGAAACTCTAGCACTCGAGGCAGACACCATGCCTTGAGACTATGCAACCCCCTGAAGTTTAAAGTCTAGAGGATTGACTTCATCGAGAAGATCGACGTTACTGCACTGGGTTTAATCCCAAACGGCTTCTGTCTACGGTCTCTCTCTGCAGAATGGCTAGTTGCCTGCTGGAAGTGCCACAAACAGCACGAACTCCGTAGCTCCGGCAAGGATCCCCATCATGAAGAGGTGTAGACAGGTCATGAAGCACCCTTGCATCCTGTAAAGGACTTTATACTGTCACTGGAGAAGACAAATGTGGGCCACTACTTTCTGAATGCTTCTTGTATATAACTTCATTCTTCCATTGTCCTACATTTGCTTTGTTTTTTTTTTTTAAACGCAACGGCTAGTGGAGTTAAAAAATTAAAGTCAAGAGAATCGACTTCATTGCACCGGGTTTAATCCCATATGGCTTGTTCTCTCTCCGCAGAACGGCAAGCGGCCTGCCAAGAGCATCACACAGAGCATAAACTCTGCAGCTCTGGTGACAATCCCCAGGGATCTCCGTAAAAATTACACATGTGAACTGAACGGCACAGCCATGAAGTAAACCCAGGACCTTCACAGCGCGAGACAAACAGCTTGACCACTTCGCCACGGAGACCCCTAGTGAAGTTAAATCATGGAAAAAAGTACAGAGGAACCAACATTGTGCATATCAAATAAACAGATCACGCACACAATTTTATAACTAATTACAAATGAAAAGCATACTTTATACAACTTACGCTTTGTTCCCGAGCCACTATATGGTCTGGTATTGAGTGAGATGGATTTACAGGTGGAAACTGGAGTTTTTCCAACAATTCTAATAAAGCAAAATTTTTCTTCAGTCCCCATACTCCAGAATCACCAATTTCCGTTGGCTGTCTGTCAAAAGGACATAGGAGTGACCTCCCATGCAACTGTAATCTTGTCAAACATTGATGGCAGCAGGTGTGGCCACAAATTAACAAGCGTGGTACTTTATCTCCTTGAAATCGAAAGACTTCATTGCAGACTCGACATTCTAGGATGGTCTGCACAATTTTAAAACAAACATAATTTAATGTTAAATCATACTACAACAACCAAATATTGAAAAAAATGCATTAAAGTTAAAAGTAAAGTAAGTAAAGATCCCTTTTCACGCCTTTAGGTGCATCAAGCATATCGGAAGAGTACCCATATTTTTTCAGACCAATCGGCACTAGGTGGGTAATGTGGTCAGTATTACGCCTGCCGTCTTTACTTCCCCAGGACATATATCCTGGTACCCATTTTAGGCTGGGTCGATTTAGTAAAGTAAGTTAGGCTCACTTTATGTTTTTTTTCAATGACCTTGACTCACAGACCAACCAACCTGAAATGGGTACCAGGTGAAGTGCTAGGAGGTAAAGGTGTCGGCCTGAGGCCTACCTCATGACCAATGGGTGCCAATTGGTCTATACAAATATGAGTCTAACATCATATGCTCTATGCCCTATGACATAGAAGTTTTTTTTTTAAAATACACACCCACTCATGCATGCACACACGTGCACTCACACACAGAAAGAGAATTATCAACACCATTCATCTCTTGCAGTCATTTCGCCTTAATCATCATTGTTTTGTTGCTGTAAAAGAAGTAAAACTGCCCTGTTATGTGCAATATCATCATCTTCCTCACTCTGTTGTGTCATTATTTATCCTAAACTCACTCTGTTGTGTCATTACTCATCCTAAAAGGCTTACAGCTGATTCCTTTATTCTATTCTACCCTGTCCAAAATGGTGGATGGCCGATTACCTTCTGAATAGGGGGTCTACTTATCAAGAAAGACCTGTTGTCTGGGTCAATTATTTTTCATTGAGTGTAACATTAGATGAGTGCTTGATTTGAAATTTGATTCTATTTTAATTTTTTAAACCCTAGGTCTACTAGCTCGAGGAATTAAATTATAGTAACCAAAAAAAAAACAGGTCTACAAGCTAGAAAAAGTAAATTATGGTAGCCAAATAAAAACTAGGTCTACTAGTTAGAGGAAGTAAATTATTCATTCATTCAGTAGTATGTCCCTCGCGGAACCTCGCTGCCATAACAACCCTCCGGAAAACCTTCCTATCCTGAGCAAGATGTCCTGCGTCTGATACACCCATCTGGAGATCATCTGCCACATCCTGCACCCATCTTCTCCTTGGCCTTCCTCTTCCTCTCTTCCCAGGCATATACCCCTCCATTATTGTTCTCTCTAGACTTCCATGACGTTTCAAGTGACCAAAATATTTCAATTTTCTTTGTTTTATTGTCTTTACTAGCCAACCCTCTTCAATATTCAGCTCTTGAAGTATGGATGCATTTGTTCTTTTCTTTACCCAAGATATTCTTAGAACCTGTCTGTAACATTTATATTCAAATGCATTTATGCGCTGTTCCGCTTGTTTAGTAAGTGTCCAGGTCTCACAGGCGTATGTTGCAATGGGAAAGATGCATGCTCTTAAAAACTGACCTTTGTAATTCTATCTGTACAATTCCATAATTTATTCAGTTGTTTTAGTCTTTGAAGAGCAATTGATAGTCGCCGTTTTAATTTCTTTCATTGTGTCACCATTGTTGGTAACCAGTGACCCAAGATATTCGAAATTTTCCACCACTTCCAATCTTTCCTCATTAACATATATTTCCTTCTCCATGGCAGTTTTGTTTGTATGCATTATCTTTGTTTTTGCTATGTTAAGAAATAAGTTATGATTTTCACTATTTCTTTGGAGTGAGGTTAATAAGTTTTCTAAACCATTTTGTGATGTTGATAGTAATACTGTATCATCAGCATAACGAATTTCTGGTATTTCATGACCACCGATGTTTAGGGCATCATATTGTTCCTTGTTAATATCATCTCTTACATTTCTCATTATATTTTCGGCGTACAGATTGAACAAATACGGTGACAGCACACATCCCTGACGGACTCCTTGCTTGATGCCAAACCAGTCTGATGTCTCTCCATCTATTCTGACTGCTGCTTGTTGGTCTTGATAGAGCATTTTAATGAGCTGCACTATATGTGATGGAAAGCCCATATTCCTCATGATTTCCCAAAGCTTCTGATGTTGTACACAGTCAAATGCTTTTGAATAATCCACAAAACATAAGAACAGATTTACATTAAATTCTCTACACTTCTATATTATTAAACGCATGTTGAATATATGATCTCTTGTTCCTCTTCCCTGTCTAAATCCAGCCTGAGCTACATTAATCTCTTCTTCCATTTTCTTATGCAGTCTTCTCATTATAATTTTTAGTAGAATTTTACTTGCATGACTGATCATGGCAATAGTTCGATAGTTTGTACATAATTTCAGGTCACCCTTTTTTGGTATTGGAATGAAGATAGTTCTCTTCCAGTCTTTTGGCCAAATACCATATTTCCATATCTTTTCACATAATGCATGATAGATTTTTATGCTTTCTTCTCCTCCCGCTTTAATCAATTCAGCTGGTATCTCATCACATCCAGGTGATTTACCATTTTTCAGGCTCCTTATTGCCCATGAAATTTCATCTAATGAAGGTTCAGGTTCTGCCTCTACTGTTACTGGTTCATGTATATCATTCATATCCTCACTGTCATTCATACCATACATTCCGCTGCAGTATTCCTGCCATCTTCCTAGAATTTGTCTAGATTCTGTTAAAGTATTTCCCAACCTGTCACAAATAATATTTAACTGAGGTTGAAAATTTCTTGTCAATAACTTCATTTCCTTGAACATTTCGTAATTTCTTCCATTTTTATGATGCTGCTCTATTTTAATACAGCAATCTTGTACATACTGATTTTTATCCTTTCTTGTGTACTTTCTTATTTCTCGTGTTAAAAATTTATACTTCATCCTACTGTCATTAGTTTCTTCTTTCTTTTTCAGTTCCCTTCGTTGTTTTATTAGTTCTAACGTGTATGGTGTGATCCATGGTTTATGTTGCTTAGTCCTGGTGGGTATTAAGTCTTTAGCTGCTGTTATCAAGATATCCCTAGCTTGTACCGCCAGTTCATCAGGTGTCATTTCCTCTTGTACAGATATCAAGACCTCAAAACGGTTCTTCACTTCTACGTTGTATGCATCTGGTATTTTTGTGAGATCAAATCGAAATGGCCTTGGTCCTCGGGTAAGCTTTTTGAGTTTTAATTTCAGATCTGCTTCTAGTAACTGATGATCTGTATCGCAATCTGCACTTCGCAGGGTTTTTGCAGATGTTATGCTCGATCTCCATCTTCTTTGTATTAAAATGTAATCTATCTGATTTTTGGTAACACCGTCAGGGGATGTCCATGTGAAAAGCCTTCTAGGGTGTTGTTTATAAAGTGTGTTAGCTATTGTTAATTCATTTTCTATGCAAAATTCAATCAATTTTTCTCCTGTTTCATTTCTATTACCCAATCCAAATTTTCCTAAAACGTGTCTCTCATTTTCAGCTCTGCCTGTACCTACTTAAGCATTAAAATCTCCCATTATTATTATTATATCATTCTGATTAATTTTATTTAATGTGTCTTGCAGTATGGCATAAAAATCTTCAATTTCGCCCTCCTCTGCTGTTGAAGTTGGTGCATATACCTGCATGAAAGTTATGTTTTTTGGACGGCCTTTAAGTCTGATAGTTAGGATTCTATCACTAACTGGATTATATCCCATAATAGCTTTTTGCTGTTGTTTTATCTAAACAAAATGCCACTCCGCTCTGGCCTCTTACATCTCTACCAGAATATACGAAAAAGCTTCCATATTCATTGATAAAATGTCCCTTGCCACTCCAACGATGTTCACAAATTCCTAAGATCTGTATATTTAATCTTTCAATCTCATCACATACTACTTTAAGCTTTCCTTCATACAGACTTCTCACATTCCACGTTCCTATTCGCATTCTGTTTCTTAGTCTGACACAGTGGATTTCCTTGGTAACACAGTCAGGATTAACTCCGTCATCACGATTACTAGTACTGACCCCTGTATCACACTCTTCCCCAGTGTTATCTGATCTGCCTGGCCTGGGGGTCTCGCCACCAGATCTCTTCTGTGTTATGTTTTCTTTCATGATTGTTATGGATTCTTGGCAAAATTTGCAGAAGGTAGTTTGCCGTTGCTTTCCTCCTGAGCAGTGACTATACTAGTCGGTGGCCATAGCCATTGTCTCCACTGATGAGATCATCTGCCTATCGCCGCAGAGTGCAGACCATAACCAACAATACCTGTCGGCTGCTCTTACACTCCATCCACCACCTGCTTCCATGGCTTCACGCAACCCTGATTGGGGGGCTAAACGGGTACTCCACCTTGCCCAAGGGTGTCCCGTAGACTAGCAGAGGAAAGGAGGCGTCTTACTTCTCCTTTGATAGGGGATACCCCTACCCCGCTAACCGTAAGTAAATTATAGTAACCTAAAAAAAAAACCAGGTCTACTAGTTAGAGAAAGTGAATTATGGTAGCCAAATAAAAACTAGGTCTACTAGTTAGAGGAAGTAAATTATAGTAACCAAAAAATAAACCAGATCTTCAAAGCTAGAGAAAGTAAATTAAAGTAACCAAAAAATAAACCAGGTCTTCAAAGCTAGAGGAAGTAAATTAAAGTAACCAAAAAATAAACCAGGTCTTCAAAGCTAGAGGAAGTAAATTAAAGTAACCAAAAAATAAACCAGGTCTTCAAAGCTAGAGGAAGTAAATTAAAGTAACCAAAAAATAAACCAGGTCTACAAGCTAGAGGAAGTAAATTAAAGTAACCAAAAAATAAACCAGGTCTACAAGCTGGAGGAAGTAAATTAAAGTAACCAAAAAATAAACCAGGTCTACAAGCTAGAGGAAGTAAACTATAGTTTAAAAAAAGGACCCTTTTGCATGCCTTCAGGCATATTAGACGTGTGGGGTTGACCTATATTTTATAGATCAAGCACTCAGTGGGTAATGTGGTCAACATCACACTGGCTGCCTTTATTTCCCAGAACTGTACCTGTTACCCATTTAAATCTAGGCCGACCTGGGAGCCAAGGTCATTT